GTACCCTATATTCCACCCCAATCCCTCCAACAATCTCGTCATAATTCGTCTCCAATGTTTCATGACTAGGCGAGGGCCCGCTGTGGTCGTGTTATTACTGGTGTTTCTACCTCTTGCTTTTTCTCGCCCGGTCGCTGTTGACCTCCCGTATCTCGAGTACCAGTATTACGTAAATGTGATGTATCGATAGCTAAATATATGATCATAGAGAGAGCTACCGCATCCATCATGCACGAAATCAAGATAGACGTGACCTCTAGCCTGGAGCAGAGCCTTATAGGTTGCCAAGCACCTAGCCTCTGTCAAGGCACTCTTTTGAACATTGAAATCCGCATATCGATATGTTTCAATATTTGATGAAGTGATCTTCAGTCCAAAGGAAAGCGTAAAGTAGCCAGCAGACGTTACACTTGTAAAGTTCTTCGATTATCACAATAATATACGACATAAGAAAATAAGAGCCTTTCTCGTCACGTCTCCCAGCTATGACGTAGTAAGAGTTCCGAACCTTCAAAGATGTTACCGATCCTTAGCACCTGGGGCCTTCCAGTCAAGTCCCCTTACGATCTCTATAACAAGCTCGCCACTGGATATGGATCTTCACTCAGCAACCTGGTAATAGGCACGGTAAAGGATTCGCTATGGGTGGTGCTAGCAATAATGCTCGTCACTGGAGAAATAGTCCGTGGCATTCCTTGCATGGATCGACGGTTTATATCGGGTTGATTGGGTGTTGTGATATGAATGCTGGCGGTACGAACGGCATAATCCCATTCGTTTTAGCTGGAGACGAGTTGGGCGTTCTATCTTCTAGCTCATTGAGCCTTCGCGCTTTCCGTGACTTCTCGAGCCATGTCACGAAGAGGACCTAAAAGGCTGAAGTCACCGAGCAGACTACCGATGATCACACCAATCGCAGCGGGTGGTAGTTCACCACGTTCAGAGCTATTGCTTCGATCGCTAACAGGCCTAATTAGTCACAAGTTAGTCATAATGCTTGGCCAGAGAACAACGGGTAAAGAGTGACAGGTGAGGTAACCAGTCAACTACTCACGTCATCGTGGGTCCAATGGACAGTTGCGCTCCGGATACTACAGACATCCCGAAACTACTCCCAGTCGGACTATTTCTCCCAAGGAATTTCGGTAATAACCGTCAACGTCATACTCGCCTCTCCCATACTAATGTCATTCTTAACCCGTCAACTACCTGTTCGTCTCCATCTTTTACTTGAGAAACAGTCCCAACCGCGGGAACGGATAGTTGAACAGCCTGCCCTACGGTGTTCATGTGACCATTTTCTCTGGATCTTTGTGGCGTATTGACCATGGGACTAGGACGGTTGCTGGTAATGGGCGCCCCGACGACAGTTGGAGCATTCACCATAGTCCCGTCAGTTACAGGCGTTGCGATCTGCGTTGATATTGGTGTCGGTGCTGGACTTGGTACTGGTACACTGGGAAGCGGCTGTATCACCACAACCATCTCCTGATCACGAACGAACTCGGCGGACCGATAATGATGAGCTCGTCTAAGCTCCAACTTGTTGTTGTTGTGAGATGCTGAACTTCAGTCGCCAGCTCATCTGGGTACCAAAGTGTCGTTATTGTGAGACGCAGAGTAGCTGATATTTGTCCTGGTTTACGATTAGAAATCTATTTCTTCCAGTGGGGGGACATTCACGTACGCTGTCGGAAGGACCAAATCCTAAATGCCGAGCATTCTGTTCGATTTCCTTCTTGCCAACGCATTCCTAACACAGAAACATCAGACTTTGGATTCGACATCGAAATGTACCTCGTGCTCACAAAGGTTTGCTGTACGACCAAGGCCTTCCATACTCCTGTATTGGGAAATGTGTCACATTTCCTGGAGAGGCTATTATCGAATTCCGTAGAACATTTAGTGTACTATACGACGAATTAAGAGATATATTTCACCTACATTCCGAGGGAAGGGGCACTCCATTTCTTCAAGGTCTCTTGAGTAAGCCCCATGAAAAACATTCTCTTCCAAGCTTGAAGTATCACCGGTTTCTCCTGTTCCTTTCGAGTAGTACAATATGCACGGTAGCATGTGCTCCATGCTGGACCAGGTGATGACTAGCATGTTGACTCGCAAAGCATACCACGGCCAGCCATAACCGTGGAGTCGAAGAATGTTTGCTCTGAACTTGTATCGATGAAAGAAGGTTCAGGGAATGCATCCACAAAGGTAGCTTCGGAGACTGTGTCTGAAGAACGGAAATCGAAAGCAAGGGGTTCGGGATCCGCAGTAGGAGATTCTGGCACCGAGAAGTCTTACAGTCGGTAATTATACTGTCGGTGAGATTTTCAGGAAAAGTGGTGACTTCGCTTGTTGGTACGATAGTTGCGGTTTCGACACGGGGCCGGATGGCGTCGAGGTTGGTTCTTGAGCGGAGCACTCGTTAGGTGAAGCGAGAATGGCG